AAGTGAAGAAACGCACATTTCCTGCTCTTGTAAAAAATAGAACAACACACCTGTCCTCCTCCACCTCATCTCGTAAAAAACTGACATGCGGGGGGGGGGTTACCCGGTGCGCCAAAACTGGACGTAAAAGTTCACCTGACCAAGTGTCAGTATGTTGATGCAGGAGGAGTGAGAATGTGTTGGATTGTGAGTTCCTGCCACAGTGTGGGACTGGCAACAGCTGACAACACATCTGTTGTGTGCGTGTTGTGGAGCTGAGGAATCATCACAGCTGAGCTGTTCTCAGTTAATCTGCTGAGTCGACTTCTTTTTCTCAGTGAGAATTAAAATGATTCTTAGACAATTCACACATTTTATTCTCCTCAGCTGTGTGTGTGTCTCAGGCCTGCACTCTGTGTGTGTTTCTAACTACATGACAACAACATAAAACCAGTTTACAGACTGGACTGAGGGTCTCTGATCAGTTTTAGACTGATCTGTTTTCTTGTCTGAGTTCAGTTTAAACAATAAAAACTCAAAGTAAAATAAAAATCTAACACTGTTCAGACGCTCCTTACATCCAGAAAACACAACAGACTCATATTTCTGTGGGTTCAGCTCAGATTCATGACTTTGTGAGTTAAAACTGTCCACTGAAAAACTTTGTGTGTCTGCTGCACATTCTCACACAATGTTGGTTTTGATACATCACAACGTGGGCGTAGAACCTGGAGCACACAACTTTTGTGCGTACTCACCGTTTCTACATGAGAACCTGAYACCTCAGCTGGCTCCTATCACTCAGTCACTACCCAAAGCTCCTGACCATAGATGAGGGTAGGAACGTAGACCCACTGGTAAACTGAGAGCTTCACCTTCTGGCTCAGCTCTCTCTTCACCAYGACAGACCGGTACAACACCCACATCAYTGCAGACACARCACCAATCCACCTGTTGGTCTCCTGCTCCATTCTTCCCTCATTCATGAACAAAACCTGAGATACTTAAACTCCTCCACTTGGAGCAGATTCTAAAATTAAGATACTTAAAATTAATTAAAAAATACTTAAAATGATCAAGATTTAATTCTCTGTATTTGCACACTCAACAAAAAAACTGCATAAAAACTATGGAAATAGCCACTGTGTCATGAGCCAGTTGTTAGTGGACTTGTTTGGAAAGCACAAAGTTAGTGTGTTGTTATCTTTGGAAAACAATGACATAATCGTAGAAACAATCTTCTGCAGGTCTAAAACATCACGATATTGAACTTGAAGCTAACATCAGTGAAGAAACATGTTCATGTGTTCAGTGTCCAGGCTGGCAAAGAGACGATAGACAATAAGACCAAGAGTCAAAGAAGAACACACACACACACACACACACACACACACACACACACACACACACACACACACACACACACACGATTGTTTTGTTTGATTGATTGTTTTCTCGGACACATCACTGTCACCTGTGGCTGAAGTGAAAAGGACAGATTCCTGCAGCTGTAATCTGAACAAGAACACTTGCATTCATTGCATTCACATACAAATAAAAGCATGGGCAACAATGTTTGTTGCCAGTTACACACAACTGAGCATAATAAATTGACATTAGTTTTAGCAGACACAAAACCTTTWGTGAAAATTGTGATAGTTCATTGTTGTGGTGACAGTAAACTGGATCCTGTGTGGAATGTGTGTGAGTGTGATGACAGTGTATATATGACGTATTTCACATGGCGTAGTCATGGCTACAACCCATCATGCCATCAGTGTTGTGCTGGTTTGATRTGATCTTTTACCATATTTCTGTATCCTGATGCAGTCCAACAGGCCTGGGTCATTTGCTGTACTTGCCAGCAGAATCAGCCCATCTGATACTGAAGAGTTTAGTCATGCTACATTATACACATTATATATACAGCGGGTAAAATAAGTATTGAACACGTCACCATTTTTCTCAGTAAATATATTACTAGAGGTG